AATATCATGTATGTTACAATGACTCACAATTACTAAACTAAGGTAAGGGGCAAACTTGTAATTCTATCAAAGCTATTAAATAATTTTGGAAGCTTCCAATTGGTGAATCGGGTTTACTTGTAGAAGGCTTATTTATTATAAATAGTGAGGGAGGCTTGTAAAGAGGTGACCAAAGGAAAACAAATCAATTGGTTAAATAAAGAACATGAGAGACTTCAAGAATTGAGGGGGGGTCTTGGAGATCTTGTATCGAGGTGATTTGAAAGAGAGATCATTGATTTTGGAGATCTTGTATCGACGAGATTCGAGAGAGAGATCAAGACAAGATGAGAGCTCATTCCTCAATGTAAAAATTTTTGTAATTATTCTTTATTGCCTTAGTGGATTTGATAGTTGATTTCTCTCCCGTGAATGTAAATCCCATGAACCAAACCACGTAATTCTTGGTGTTCTTGTTTCTTGTTTGCATATTATCTTTGCTGCAGTATTTCGTTTCTTTTTCCTGTTTTCTTGTCTGCTGCGGTTTCACTCATTCGGCTGTCAAGGAGGTGTTCGACATTTATTGTTTCTTCCTATTCAGTAGTCTAGTTCTTGGTTTTCTTCAGGTGTTCGGCAATCCAGTTCTTGGTTTTTCTTGAGGTGCTAAACGATCTTATTTTTTTCTTCAACAATTGGCACCGTTTGTGGGAAACCTAGCCACAACAATGGGAACCACCAAATTTGATCTCGAGAAATTCACAAGAAAAAAATAATTTATGTCTGTGGAGAGTCAAGATGAGAGCTCTGTTGGTGCAACAAAGGGTTGTAGGAGCTTTGCAAGGGTCGGCGACATTGCCGGTCGAGATGTCCGAGAAAGAGAAGAACGACATCATGGACCTGACTCACAACTTGATAATCTTGAGCTTGGATGACAAAGTTCTTGAGGTAAGTGCGAGGGAGGCGATGACTTAAGCAATTTGGGCCAAACTCGAACTACTCTATATGACGAAATTTTTGGCTAATAGGCTCTTCTTGAAGCAACGCTTATACTCTTTCAAGATGCATGAAGATAAATCCGTCATAGAGCAAATTGATGAGTTCAACAAGATTATTGATGATATTGAATATATCGATGTCAAGATGGATGACGCGGAGAAGACACTATTGTTGTTAAACTTCATTTCGAAGAGCTACGAGCATTTCAAAGATGCGATGTTCTATGGAAGGGTGCAAAAAATTTTCTTGGAAGAGGTTCAGTCGCTGATTAGAGCCAAAGAACTTCAAAAGAAACATGACATAAACGAGGAAATCAACGGAGATGGTCTTGTCGTGAGAGGAAGATCAGACAAGAAAGATTCAAGAAACGGTCAGAACAGATCACGAGATAAGGAGAGAAGAGCAAGGGCTAAGGGCCTCTCAGGGCTAGGTGGAGGGAATTTCTATTCAAGATTTTGTAATTGAGAGTCAAGTTGGAAAATTTTTACAATGACTAACAATTACTAGACTAAGGCAAAGGACAAACTTGTAATTCTATCAAAGCTTTTAAAGAATTATGGAAACTTTCAATTGGTGAATCAGGTCTACTTGTGGAAGGCTCATTTGTTATAAATAGTGAGAGGGGCTTGTAGAGAGGTGACCAAGAGAAAGTAAATCAATTGATTAGAGAAAGGAGATGAGAGACTTATAAAATTGAGCGGGAGGATCTTGGAGTTCTTGTATCGAGGTGATTTGAGAGAGAGATCATGATAAGATTAGAGCTCATTGATCTTGGAGACCTTGTATCGAGGAGATTCGAGAGAGAGATCAAACAAGATGAGAGCCTTGTAGAGAGGTGAACAAGAGAAAGTAAATCAATTGATTAGAGAAAGAAGATGAGAGACTTATAAAATTGAGCGGGAGGATCTTGGAGTTCTTGTATCGAGGTGATTTGAGAGAGAGATCATGATAAGATTAGAGCTCATTGATCTTGGAGACCTTGTATCGAGGAGATTCGAGAGAGAGATCAAACAAGATGAGAGCCTTGTAGAGAGGTGAACAAGAGAAAGTAAATCAATTGATTAGAGAAAGAAGATGAGAGACTTAAAAGATTGAGGGGGAGGATATTGGAGTTCTTGTATCGAGGTGATTTGAGAGAGAGATCATGACAAGATGAGAGCTAATTGATCTTGGAGACCTTGTATCAAGGAGATTCGAGAGAGAGATCAGCCAAGATGACTAGATGAGAGCCCATTCCTTAATATAAAAAGCTTTGTAATTCTTCTTTATTGCCTTAGTGAATTTAATGGTTGATTTCACTCCCGTGGATGTAGATCCTATGGACCGAAGCACGTAATTTTTTAGTGTTCTTGTTTCTTGTTTGCTTATTATTTTTGCTGCAGTTTTTCGTTTCTTTTCCCTATTTTCTTGCCTGCTGCAGTTTCACTCTCCTTCAACTGTCAAGGAGGTGTTCGACTTGTTTCTTATTATTCGGCAGTCCAGTTATTGGTTTTATTTAGGTGTTCGACAGTACAATTCTTGGTTTTCCTTGAGGTGTCAAGCGGTCATATTTTTCTTCAACAATGTCCTATCCACAGTCGATTTAAATAAAAGATTTTGTCTCTTTAAATATCCCTTGTTGCTTTGATTGATCATGATGGTTAATGAGGGCTGAAATCAACTCAACAAAGGCCTTCATTTGAAATGGATCGGAAAACCCCGTGATTTTGAACCTTGTGGGATGAGGGATATTTATTGGGCTCAGATAACTATGGATTCTCAAATTCATGTGAAATAGTCGAGGTCAAAGGTATTTTGGTTCTCCAATCTATCAAAAGGAAGGAGAATCAGGTGCCTAATCTTTCTGATTCATTAAGAAACATATTCCCCCTAACAATATGGATGGAGCGATTATGCTTTTAAGCTCCATGTTTAGTGTTAATGAAGATTTAAGTAGGATGGTATAACATGTTTAGTGTTAATGAAGATTTAAGTAGGATGACATAATTTATATTAATAGCCCTACGGGAGAAAGGACATCAATGACATGATGTCAATAATTCTAGATTAATGCCATTTAGATGCTCTTTATCAAAACCAATTGAACAGTACACAACAATTTTGACCTTGAGTGATGTAGGAGCTGTAATGATCTCCATGTTTGAATATCGCTGTTTAAAGATCATTTGAAATATGAATAATGTTGGCTTTGATTGAATATTTTTTTTAAGGGATATTTACCTACGTACCGCCTCCTATGGATTCACATATCTAGCACGTAAACTTAGATTCGTGCCGACCAACTTTCCTATGGACAAAAGGTAGGATGGGTGGTCTGTATGTAAAAATTGAAGTATGGGTGTTCGATATGTGAATGCACAAGAATTGGGCGGTACGTAGATAATGACCAGTTTTTATTAATAGTGCTATTTTTAGGTTTATAAAAAATTTTCCTTTATTCTTTATTTATTTTTTTTTCAAAAAATTGCCAAAAGATTGCTCTTTAATCTCAAATACAGCTCTGCACAAGTGATTGCATATTTATTTTCCTGGTTTTTGCCTCAAGATCTAAGATAACTTGTTTTGTATTCAGGAGAAATAAAATTCATATATCAGTACGTGTAAAATGTAAAGCTTAAACATATAATTATAAATGCTTGAAATGGATATTTTGTTGAGTCAGTGTGTAAAGCTTAAACATATAAATGCTTGAAATGGATATTTTGTTGAGTCAGTACTATCTCTAGTAGTTTTTCATCAAGGGGAAACTAAAAATCAACTAATAGATGAAAAATGAGTCAACTAAATCTACAGAAACTAAACCTGAATCCAGCGCAAGTTTAAACAAATACTTATTATTCTGACATAATACTAAATAAATGAAAAAGCTATTGTTGAAGAATCTACTTTTGTTATGATGAACTGAGAATAAACCTGTTCGGATCTGCCAAAATAAAAATAATAACAATTGAGTTTGAACTCACATATTTTTTTTAATTTTTTAAAGCTTAAAAGACAAGGCACAAGCTTACAAAATGGTTAAATAATGAATTTTGATGATTTTTTAAGCGATATTAATATAACAAAGACCATCATTACATGAAATTAGAATTATATTGCTGAAAATGTATTATAAAAATGTTAAATTTATTATAATGATTTTCAAGATGGTGGTGTTGATAATTCATCATGTGAAAAGAGTAATTACCTACACATTTACATGCTAGTGCATCAATATGTAGTAACATTAAGCATATTAATGTATATTAATACTGACTCGTCAACCTTCTATACGAAGTCACTTTTCCAAAATAATCTAAGCAAGATGAAGATTCTTACACGTCAAGTGGAGTCCAATGATCCCATGAGTGCTGTCGCGTTATGGGTCAATCAATTTGGCTGGTTAATCATGTTGACAAGAGGGTACTACCGATATTTACATCTATCACATGGTTGCGTACATATTTTATGCTTGTCCTGAGAAAATGTCATATGAATTATTCTAAATATAGTATGACTAAAGCTTACTTTATATTAATATACAATGTTTGTCTTGAACAATATTCATGTCACACTAACCAAGATAATGTACATTTTAAATAGGTCATCATTTTAGGGGACTTGATTTTATGCAACAATTAATAAGGTAAAGCCAACAACAAATCATTTATCAATCATCATATCAATATGAATATAGAAGCACTATAAGGGGGTGCTTGGCTGCATGTAGGATATAGTGTTAGTAGGATTTCGTAAATCCAAAAT